TGGATGGGATGCCAGTCCATCACACGTTAATACCCAGCAAACAATTAGGTAGACTGAAACAAATGGGGTAAAGTGTCTTGCTCAAGGACACAACAGCACGATGCAGACCATTCAACCAAGGGTCCAAAGTTCAAAGCCACACTGACCACGAGATACAAGACCTACCTACTTGCAAAATGGTTTGGCAAAAACAAGATGGTGAAAACATTTGGTAAAGGGACAAAAAAGACACGATACTACTGGTTTTTCTGACCCGTAGACATACGTGTATTAACACAAAGCCCCATATTTCACATTACTAAACCTCCTGAATGTATCGCGTTTAAAACAAAAGTTTTGTATATTTAACTTTTTTTCTTTAGTTTGTTTATCACATTTTGGTATCTATGTTCTTGCATAAACTGTGTCCAACTTGGAATGAAAAATTCACTTCTCCAGAATAATACCCTACCACAATACTTCTGCACTTTATTAGGGGTCATGTAAATCTCTTTAAATCAAGCTTGGCAGGTATAGGCATACTTACAATACCTCCATTAACTAGACCACTATTTACTAAAAATGGAAAACCTATCTTTAAGTTGTTATTTGGGGAGAGTAATTTAAAATGTATATATATATGTGTGTGTGTGTAGTGTTGTTTCTAAAGCTTTGACCCAAGTATATAAAGAACTTGATGCTACCTCTCTTATTTTTGTTTAGCATTAACTACTTATACTTTGTTCAAAAAGCCTAGTTATGTCAACTTTTATATTTCTATCAGATTTTGTAGACCACAGAAACCATATAATCCACCCGATGATGTGTCATATCAATTGGAAAAATTGACTAAAGATGTTTTTGGTTCAAATACCACTGATCAGTGGACAGAAACATCTCTCTCTGATCCCCAACTGAAGTACAAGGTTTGTGCATTAATCATTATTTAAACATAAAGCTTAGCTATATCACTAATATTTTTATAAATAACATCAATTATCAAATGTAAAAAGTACTATGTATCAGTTACATTTCAAACTGTATATATATATATACGCCCCCCAGTGGCACAGTGGTATGTCTGCGGACTTACAATGCTAGAATTCGGGTTTTGATACCTGTGGCGGGCAGAGCACAGATAGCCCATTGTGTAGCTTTGTGCTTAATTACAAACAAACAATATATATAGAGGGGGGAATTTATTAAAGTGAAATTTTATAGTTAATTTTCTAGCCCTTAGTTACAATGAATTTGTGGAAAATTTACCTGGAAGTGGTTATTAGATTTTTTGTTAAAATGTTTGACAGTAACTGTCACCTTGTACTTGTTTACATGTATGATGAAGCATTTAGTGGTTTAACACTAGTCATACTAGTATACCATAATATTACAGATTATATGTTAAATTCTGCTATCAAACTGCTTACCTACTGAACTCTTGCCATGTTTGCTAGTGCTAGTACTCCCCCCTCCCCTCCACACACACACATGTAAACATTATTTAAGACCTGATAATTCTGATACACGTATTTAGTGTGATGATAGTGAAAATTTCTTTTTTGTTTTACTGTATTTAAATGATACATTCGAGGTTGGATAATTCATGGTTTAATTTTTCTTATTAGTGTATTATACACATATTTTTACCTTCAAAATTTTAAATGGAGCTTTATCTTCTCGACACTATTGCAAAGGCTTAGTTCCAAAAAATTGTTTTTGTTGTAATAGTTTACTAGAATCTAACAATATTTCTATTTCATTTTGATCACAACGGTATTGTTTTTATGTCAATGTGAACTTTAAACAATACAGTTAATGGCTAAACTTAAAATAAATGTAAGTCAAGAGTTGGTTTTTATATTCAAATGTTTCTAAGAAATTTTAATTTTTCAAAGTGATGTCTGTTGTATTTTTGTCAATATTAAATAATAAGACATTGACAGCAATCTTGAATTGAAAAATTCTGTCATTTTGAAGGTCATAAAGCCCAAATACAAATGGAAAACTGTTTTTATTGAATTCAGCACCATTAATGTATATGAATATGCGTGTTGTTCACTTTTCTTCAGAAATGCATAGTTAAAATTTATAACTAATCTATGAAGTTATTGTACATTTTTACAGAGTTTTATTTTACACTGTTATTTAGTTGAAAAATGTTTACATTTGACTCAAAAAACATTAATTTATTATTTTTATTTTACTAAAATTCACTTTAAGTAACTATTGGATTAGAAAAATTAAAAATGAATAGAGGCTGATGGTACAAAATTAATAATAATAGATAAAAACAGTTCAAGTGCTGTCTCCAAACTTCTTCATCAATTCCAACATATTTAATTTTTACAACTACAAACTGCTGTGTATCGAAGCTTAGAGCTTCTACATTTGCATTCAAATGAATGAAAGCTACCCAACAGTTGCAATAAGTAAATTCAATACAAAATTTTGGACCAATCGGAAGAGACGTTGGTACAGTAGCAAGGCTGTCGTTCTTCAATATCCATCCCATACTTTTCATGGAGGGAAGCAATGGGTGTAATACACACGTGTCTTGCCTCCAAATAAGTAATTGTTAATTGTCGGTCTTGGCCACCTATCAGTGAAGTCATGAACTATTAGATACATATGCAATGGGTGTAAAAACACATGTGCCTTGCCTCCAAATAAGTAATTGTTAATTGTTGGTCTTGGCCACCTATCAGTGAAGTCATGAACTATTAGATACATATGCAGTGACTTCCCTTTTGCTTATGTCTGTAAAGCAAGTACATGAAACAGTTTTCAACCTTAACTGGAAAGTTGAATGCACCATTTGAAAAAATAAAACTATCATTTTTTTTTTAAACCAATAGGTCCACAGCTTTTAATGTTTATTCATAGCAGATGGACAAACTTTCTGGTAGCCAACATTTTTCTCTCTCACTGAACTGCTTGGTTTTAGAGATATACTAGACCACCCGTGACTTGTTAGGTCACCCACTATTCAGAGGTTATGACGAAATCAAGCTAATTTCAATATTGCACCAAAATGAAGGTTTATTTTGAGATAATTTAATTAAATATTTCAATCCAATCTTGTTATTCATAATTCAAGAAAAGATATTTGATTGTCGATCGGGAGTAAAAGGAAAGACCATTTTTCAAAAAAGTGAAGTCAGAGTTTTCAGGTATTGTGATGAACAAACCTTATTCACAGTTGATTCAAAATGCCTGAAAATAAGAAATAACAGATAATAGTAATGTTATTCTTGGTTTATTAGAACATAATTGCTATCAAAAAAAGCTATTTCAGAAAAACATTTCATACTAACATGCTCAAATTACTGCAAGAAACAGCAAAACTTGATAACTGATACACTACAAAATTCACCAAATGAAAAATCTTTCTCACTGTCTCACAGCAAATGATTTTTTGACTGAGAAAATTTTCTCATTTCCTTACCTACCATAACCAAGGCACATTATTGAGAAATTCTTCAAGATCTTGTTTTTGTCATCTTGCACCTTTTAATGAAGATGGGAACATTGATAGGGAAATATATTTGAGAGAAAAAGTTTCGTAATGAGCACGAACGGTAGAGTGATGTAAATTACTCATGCTAGAAATTTTCATAAAAGTGACCCGAAAAACGGCGCTAACTCGGTAACCCATGGCTCGATTTTAACGAAACTTGTTTTATTCTGTTTCTATTCTCATATTGTGCGCCGTTTTTGCTGTATTTAATTACAGACAAGCAAACAATCTCTAGAGTTTTGGTAGTATATAGATAAGATAGATGAATTCATATTGTTAATCGATCAAAGGATGGAGTTTTTGTTTTAATGCTGCCCTTCTGATGACATATAATGAAGAAACACTAACACTGGTTACCTCATCAAGTTCACCACTTCTAGACTTCAGTCATTTCCAAAATGTGACCTTGTTTTGTAATATAATACAAGTCTTGGACCAGCCATAGTAGTATGAGATCATTTCCTTTTACTCTGGAGGCCACTTGGTGAAAATGTTTATAGTAAACTGAATGATAGTTTGTCACCAGAGTTTACTGTCATATCATAATGAATCTATAATTTTGCTGCTAACCTTACACATTGTAACAGTACATACTTTGTATTTCAGAATTTTCTTGGCAAAAAATACATAAATTCCATTCTATTGGTTTCATTGAGTTTTGAAGTCCAGTGGATGCTGAGCAGTGCGACAAAATACTATTGTATTCAGTTTTTATTTGATGTAGCTCATTTACAAACACTGAATCAAATTTTCTTATGCAAATTAAGTAAAATTTGTTGGTAAATTGCCGGTAGCTTATGCCAAATAATTTTTAAGAAATCTTCATTTGATGTTGATTTAATTCTATCAATCACCTCCAATGTAATACTTATCACAAAATTTACGTGTAGTTTTGGCAAATTCTGTAATTGTCAACTATCCATGCTTTACGTGAACATCCTATCAACTGATGGTGCATTTTATGCAGAGGTTGAAATCAATGAACAAGGGTCTATTTTTATACCCAATATAAAATAATTCCATGAATTATTAAATATCCGAGGGAAATATCAAGGATTTCTGTGTCATTATCTTTCTATCATTTTGGAGGTCAAGAAACAAATAGAAAACAGCCAATTTTATTGAATTTAGCCTCCTCAAGTATGTCTCTAGGGTCATTTTCAAGGTACATTACGGAATTTTTGACTAATCTTTCATGAGGAGGGAGCTTGTCAGACTGAATTTGGGAAATTAGTAGTTTGAGAATGTTAAAAGTTGAGAGGAGCAGCTAGTAGGGAAGCACCTCTCAATTGTCTTTTAGAGAAATATTAATTTTAGGTTAAGTATTTGGATCAACACTGATTAGGTTATGTACTCCTTCAGAGTTGAAAGTTAGGTTTCTAAGCGTAGCAAAATGTAAGATTACATTTGTAGTATAATCATTTCGTACTTTGATTTGTAGTGCTGTTGTCTGACAAGTAAAATAAGAATGCTTTCTTGATATTAAGTTCTCAGCTTCTGATTATTACAGAGAAATATAAACCTTTAAAAAATGTATTGAATACACCTGAATTAGATTGTTTATGCTGGCAACTTTTGTTTCAAGAATATTGGTGAAATATAAATTACTTAAAAGAAAAGCATTACAAGTGACGAACTAACCACTTCATTGGTAATTTAACATATTTTATAAAGGAAGCTGTTTCGAAGTGAGATTAGATATCCATTCTTAAGTTGTACTTTTTTTTAGCACAAATCTTCTATTATTTTTGTATCTAAATGGGTTTATTGAAAAGGGAAAGTATTACTTTAAAGTATTACATAATGTTTTGGGGCTTGTTTGGTCAATATTGTGCTTTAGGTTTTAAAACTCTTTCCATATTTGTTTTCTTTTAGCTGCTGACCAGGTGCATTAAAGTGTTTAAACATGAGATTTCAAATGCCGATCTTTATACCGTCACCACTATTTCAGATGTTCTAAAATTTTATAGCACTCCAGTGCATGGAATATCACCGTATGATGAACTTGTTCGCTCCAAGGAGAAGTTACCAGAAAATTTGCATGTAGTCCCAGATTATTGCAGGTTTCATCCAGAAACTGATACTTTCTTTGGTGGAATTTCTGCTTATCCTGCTAGTTCAACAATTGTTACCGGTCTCAAAACCAAGAAAAAATACAAAGGATATACCGCAAGGACTAAATGGCCGTACGTGTGACTTTGTGTACATGTGCATAAAAAACATGTACAATTATTTGTGAACTCAAGGACATGGGATGACATGTAATTATTCTTTCCACTGGAAGAGTTAACTGTGAAAAACATTTAACAGCATTTCTGTAGGTCTTAAGGCTGAATTAGATGATACCATACTAAGTTTAATGTGGTTATTTAATTTCATGATTATGTGATCTTTTGCTGATTACAAAAACTAAAATTAATTATTATTTCTTTAACTTCAGTAAATAAAACTTTACATCATTCTATATATCTGTGTAGTTTATTAAATTTTTTGTTCTGTTCATGACAAAGGTACATGCTCAAGATAATTTTTTTTTGGTAAATATTTTCTAATAATCCATATTTAATTTCTAAAAATGGTTCGGTGGAGAAAAAGAAAAGAATAAAATACCTGTGTCAGCTGAACTGTAAGAACCTCCTATGAAATTCTGTTTAATTTATTAACTAATCTATAGTAGCCTTCTTTCGAAATGTGTACTTCAAGTAATTCACATTATTAATATGTTAAACTTATACTTTGAAAGTGGTTATTTTGTCAATCACCCTGAGCCACATGTGTAGTATATGTTTTTATAAACTTTACTTGCAAATATATCAGGCTTTTTCTGCAGAAAAACATCAAACTTGTTCTGGTCCCAATAATAGTGATTGTACAAATAGTTCCAGTTGGAAACTTGCCAAATAAATTAGGCAAAAACCTATAATTTATTAATGAAATCCATATTTTTTCCCCCTTAAAAATAGACTGAAAAATCTGATTTATGTTTCAATTTTAATTTTAATATGACTATACCTACTATTTTTTATTTACAGAAACATGGTTTATAAAATTATGTGAAATTAAAAAGGAAGAAAAAAGCTTATTCAAAAAAATTTTAATTCTATACAAAACTTTCTAAGGCAACTAAAAATGAATTATCTTTTGTACACATTAATTTAATCACTATTTTAATACTTGTAAATGTCCTGTACACATCTGAAAATTTAAAAAAACCAACATTCTTCTTCTTCTGTAACAGGAACAGATGAAAGACAAAAATACTAGAAACTTGTGCACAGAGCGAGAAGCTCACCAGACAGTTCATTTGTTAGTTTCTTTCAGTATGAACTCGTTACTCCAGAAATCTAGGACATTTCGGGGTCCTGAAGTTTTAATACAGACTAATAAGTGTAAACATACAACTGTTTTACTTAGTTAGGTTTGTACAAATAATTAAAAAAAACAAAACAACAAAGATAAGAAAACATGTGTGTTAATCTTATAACAAAAACTTCTTTCTATTAGAGTATGTTTTCATTCTACCGTTAATGTATTCTTTCATGAAATATTGGGGTGTTTGTTCTGAAATATGCAATTAATCCAAACCAATTAAAAGAATTTTCATCATGGCCTCCAATCTGTTTTCCAGTTCAAAGACCAAAGGAAACTCCAGCCAACTGTACTTGCAAGAACCAAAATAAAATTGTGTACTCACTGAACAATCCCAAAGATATTACAGTTACTGAAAAGAGCATTTCTTCTAACTTAGTAAGCTATTATTATCATGCCAGTTACTCTACTCTTCACAGCTGCAAGTATTAGTTAGAACAGAAGACTGTGATTGCATTGCCAAATAAAGAATTAGAAATATGCCAAGCACAAACTGATACTTTTTTTCAGCTTTTATTTTTTAACATAGTCTTATAGGTACATTTACCCATTAATTAGTAGTCCAGCAACATATAAACAACATAAATGTAGTATCTCAATTTAAGATGATTATTCCCCTAGTTAGCTCCAGTTGTTAATTGTATCATTTTCAATATCTGGCTCAAACAGTATGCATTTTGAGTTGCGATGTCTGTTGCTGTTCATATCCAGCAGAAGAGAAAAAAAAAAGTCAAGACTTCATCAAGTGGATATATTGGCTTCAATCATAGTGTACTAAACATTATGTAAGCACTTTTCTCTGCACAACTGCTGAATGATGCAAACGCACGGGGTTAATCACACTTTATAAGAATGTGTTGTGGTGTGTTACTGAAGATACGAGTTGTGGCACAAAGCAGACATGTTTAGCACCAAAACATTTAGTTCTTGGATAATTCTCAACCATTAGGCACAGCAAAATCATACATGAGTCGACTAATGGCTTAACAAAACATACACATTTTGGAGATGAGAAACTTATTTACAGAAATGGAAAGACTCTCAGAGCATTTAGGAGAGTACTGGGCTCTGAAAAAAACATCCTCATCTACAGAATGAAGAATAGGTTATGAAAGAGAACCTTTTAATCCAAAAAAGCCATTGCAATGAAACTGTCCATTAACTAGATAAATTTAAGTTTACAAACTTTCACATCTTCAAATCAACAAAGTTTCCCATTCAACCATGTTTCTGTCATTTCCTTGATGCAGTTTCAACAAACTTGTGTTTTTGGTCTGCTGAACATGGTTTTAAAATTTTATGCCCACATAAAATGATCATCTCTCTGAAAAGCTTGTCAAAATGTTTGTGCACTACCCTTCACAGGAGCTTTGTTACAATGAAACTTTGTGTCAGGCAATAGCAAGTAACCATTGCCATCAGATTGTAAATGAATAAGATGGAAGTTTTAAGGCCAATACATTTAACCTTAAATATTCTTAAAACTTTAGAAACATATTTAAAGATTTACAGCACTGATTTTGCACACCTTTTTTGAGAGGTTGACATTTTATGATATGAAGACAAATGTCATTATACGTATGGTGCAGTGCCAAAGTTTTAAACTATCCGTTCATATGTTTTCAGAATTTATATTATAGAAAATCTTTTCAAAGTAAAGAAACATACTTCTTCTACAATAGTAAACAAAATTATCAAACTATGGTCATACATTATTTAATATTTTGTGGGCCCTACTTTATCTTCCAAAACTGTTTGAATGTGTTGTGGACAATTTTCTTGTAGTCTCTATAAAAACTCCTCTGAAATATTATTATAAGCATCAAGAAGTCCATACCAAAGTCAATCTTTGGTGATTGGTTCCTTTTTATTTTTTATTCTATTCAAATGATCCTATATTGATGAGCACCCCACATTCCTTTTTTTGCATTGCAAGTGCAGTTTCTGTATTGGCCCCATGTTTTCAATCATGATGGAAAATGAACCAATTCCAGAAGGTATAACAGGATGTATTACTATCTGCTTATACCTTGCTGCATCCATTATTTAGTAAATCCTCAGCAGATATTACACTCCAGTTTCTGAGATGTAGCTCCAATCCTGAATGGACTCACTTCCTGCTTCATAGCTGTCTTATGGACATATCCTTATATTCTGCTCTAACTCTCCTCCTTAGATATTGCCTTCTTTGAACTAAAGATTTCACATTTAGACTCACTGGTCCAAAAAACTACTTCTGCATTCCTTGGTATATTTCAGCTCTTTGCTTTTATGTAAGAAAGGTTTCTTAGTAGCCACTTTTTCTTTTAGACAACTCCTCACTAAAGATCTTCTTACAGTAGAACAATGGACTGGTACCCTAATGAAATTAACTTGACCAAATTTTTTTCTGTCTCTTAAGCAATACTTGAAGGTTACTTTCTTATCTTGTTCAGAAATTTTTGTATCAACCACACCTTTTTTTCTATCAATTATTGAACTTGAATTCTTGTATTGCACACTTAGAGAAGCCAGCTTTGCAACCAATATCACACTGACTGTAATTTTGCTCACATTGTAAAAAAATTCTAAGTTGGTCCCCTGTTGAAATTCTTGGCATTTCAGTATTTAACCATTCTGGATAGAAAAAATATGAAGCCACCAATAGAGAATTTTATACGTCAGTAACATTTTTTATTATTACAGTTCAAATAGCAAGCCCAAAATTACATATCACTTCCTATACTTTGAAATTCCACGTCGTGTTCATACCATATTTGATCCCATTGGGAATACAGAATCATAACAGGTCACTACAAAACGTTTGCACGATATTGTATGTATATATAGAAGAGAGGCCATTGCTAATAACTTTAACTAGATGACACAGCAAACTAGAGGGGTACTCAGTAGAGTGCATACCTCCGCCATATAGCATTGATGATATTTGTCTCTCAAAAGATACAAAAATGTGTCTGTATGTCCATCCTTATCAACAAACATGAGCCATTTTTGCTTTCTTATCTTGTTCAGAAATTTTTGTATCAACCACACCTTTAAACGAGTTTCATCAAAATCCAATCATTTTTGACTGAATTATAAAGCAAAAATAGTGTAAAAAATCAGTCCCCATGTTAGCAGATGGGGAGTTTTTTGGATTTTTGTTAGCTTGGGTCATAGGCCAAATGTATACCAACTTTTGACCAAATCCATTCAGATGTTTTCGAGAAATCTTGCTGACAAACATACACAGAGGTGAAAAGATAACCTCCATCCACCTTCGGTAGCAGAGGTAATAATAGCATAGAGACATAAATGAAGAAGCTGGTTTTTTTAAGCTACCTAACATAACTCAATTTGTAATTTTATTTCCACACAGAATAAAAAAATGAACTGAAAACTAAGCCACTTATCTTTCCATAACTTTGATAATCAAACGTCTCCCAAAATTCTGGTCATTTACTGAAAACCTTTTTTTTTCAGTATGAGGTGTGTGTATAAGTATATTTATTCTTATAAAAGATACATCCAAATTTTAAAAAGTATGTATTTTAAATTTAAAATCTTAATTCAATCATGGATGAGGTCTCACCAAAAAGGAATAAACATTAGAACTGATAGTTGCTCTAGGCAGCCAATCATGAAAACAATGATGACTATTTGATATTATCACAAGTTCTAAAACTGATACTATTTATTAGAGTATTAGGTCTAAGCTTTGATCTACAATTACAAGTGAAAAAAAAATCATAAATGTAAATTTTAATAAATAAAAACTAACTTTTTAGTGACATGATTCATTTTTAGTATAAAAATAATTTCAAGGTGTTTAATTTGGTTACTAAACAGAAACTTCAATTTTTATTAATTAAAAAGAAAAGATTAGTATTTTGTGATAAAAAGTACCAATTCAAAATTTATCAAATATAATACGTATTTTTCTATATTTAACTTCTATCAACATCCTTGTGTGTTAAAAATTACAGTATGAGTGAACACACTCTTAAATACTTGTGAATTATTACTTCAATTATACAAACCAAAATTCATCCCTAAAAAGTACTTATATTATTGGGGGGTTTCTTGGTCTATACCTACTTCTTTGATCCTACATATAT